AATAGTAGCACAAATGTAATTAGAAACTGTATATCAATTGTTCTGTAAAAAGGTGTTAATCTTGACTAATAAAGTTTCTACATTTGGCAATATAAAAAAAAAAAAAAAATTATTATTATTATTATTATTATTATTATTATTATTAATTATTATTATTATTATTATTATTATATAGATGTATATTATATCCTTGTAGAACTCGACAAGTAAAAAATGCTAGTTGCAAAAGAAACCTTCATCAACTTTCATACCAAAAGAATTTCTCTCACAAATATTAGGCCAGAAATTCTTACCAAGATTCACAAATTCCTTTTTCCCCTTCAGAAACTTATCGCAGAAAAGGTACATACCATTACAGGTCGAAAGATAAAAAATCAGGCACAAATCAGGTACCTGATTTGTGTCTGATTTTTTATTTTTCGATCTGTGCATCTTAAAAAGATTGGAAGAGGGAAAATATACACCAGATCTTGCAAGTGCAGAATGCTCATGCAGATTCTTCAATCGGTACATGTTACTATATCGTCATATTTCTATGAACAAATTTGTAGGACCAATATTTTAATGCCTAAAACTTGGAGTTACTTTCATAGAACATTCGAAGAGAGTGGTATAAAAGTATATCAAACTCGTGGCATTGTGGAGGTACCTGTAATTTGGAAATCATTAGCTGAAAAAGCAGTCGAGAAAAGCCAATTAAAAATGAACGAATTGTTTAAAAAAACCCAAGACTACTACTATAGGTTGGTGGAGAAAAGTATAGACGAGACATCATGATTTATTAGAAGTTTGGAAAAAATATTAGAGCTAGCGATTAATAAAAATAATTAAATAAAAAAAAAAATAAAAAAAAATAAAAAAAATAAAGAAATGGAACAATAATACAAAGTATATAATAATGAGTTGAATAAAATAGTACAAGACTTTCACATTTATTTATTATAAAAAAATATAAATATATTGTATATGCAAGAAGTAATAAAAGTATAATAATATGAAGTGGGTATAATTTTTCGTTAGTTTTTTTTATTTATTTGAATTTTTTTTTTTTTACAGTGTTTTAAATAATGTTATCCTTATTCTTATTTTCTCAATCTCGATGCTATTAACCACATAATTCTGATTTTCTCCAAGTTTTTATCTTGATTACTATTATCCAATATGTAGCCATTGAATTTTGTATACAAGAACCCACTGTTTGTTAAAGTCCTCTCAAACATTTTTATTCACTAAAGAAATGTTTCTAGCTAGTTGATATTGCTGTGATATAACTACGTTGTTATAATTGACAAAAGCTCATTATTATTGCAAGTTTTTTTTTATTTTATTTTTATTATTTTTTTTTTTATCTGTTTGCTCGCTTGCTATTTGCCATGAGTTTTTTATTTAGCCAGAAGTTGTTTGTTTGCTTGCTATTTGCCGTGAGATTTTTGTTTAGCCAGAATCTGCTTATTCGCTTGCTATTTGTCATAGAGTTTTGTTAACTATGGGATTTTTTTCCACCAAAGCTTCAAAATGGTGAGTTTTTTTTAATACTTTAAGCCAGTAATTAAGGTAAAGTTTTTTTGTTTTTTTTAAATAATTATTAGCTTGTCACATGAAGTTTTTTTTTTTCTTTCAAGCTATAGCTTGATGCAAGAGGTTTTCTTTCTTTTTTTAAAAATTTCAAGCTAGTAATTACAAAAGGTTAATAAAAAAAATATATTTAATGGATAATTACAGGGTACATAATTGGCTATATTGATTAGATGATTAATTGACATGCATATCCCCCTAGACTGTCAATTCAATAGTTACTCCACTTTAGCGGACCCCTAAAATAGATAACATATGAGCCAATTTTTTTGATTTCTGTAGATCCTTGTCTATCAAAACACTCAAAATTGCCTTATTTGGGTTTAATTCTGGTCG